TGACTAGTCCACCTTAGTAAGTTATGCTTATGTTAGTTGAAAATATGATTAGAATAATAAAAGGCAAGTAAATAGAATAGCTTTGTAACATGATTTCATCTATACAATTTAATACATATCAGTGCCCTTTTAGTTTACTGTTTCTACCAAGAAATTCACTGACGCACTAAATAATGATGTTCCAAAATTGTTTTACAAGGACCAATTAATTTAATCTTTCTGTTGTTTGGTATTGGTATTGAGTCATCAAGGTGCATATTTGAAGTGTCTGCTGTTCTGGCCCTTTTAAATGATTGTAATTCTACAAAAAATTAAAACAAATGTGCTTTAATTACAATGTTTTATCTATCCTAGGGCAAATGGGGATATGTTTATGAACTTTAGTATTAAAAAAACGCAGTAAAAAACACAAACTTTTCTATTTTACAGAAGAAATGCACCCCTTATTCGAGAAATTACTATCTGAACTTTTAAAAAAATGATAAATATATCATGGGAATGATTTCTAATCATAAAACCAAATTCTGCTGCCAAATGATCATGTAAAGAAGTGCCAACATGCTATGCTGTTAGTGTCAATCACTGTACTGTGTGTTGTCAGCTACTGTCACTGTTTCGGGATCAAACCATGGATTAATAACAGGTGCATCCTCCATTACTAGCCATGATGGCTGCATGCTGTCAACTCATGGAGACAGATACGGTCTTAATAAAGACATAATTTGAGCTGTTGAAGCTGTTCAATATTGCTTGAGTCTATCCTGTATCCTGGACTCAACAGCCAGACACAATTTTGTATTACAAATGTTCAGCAGGATATGGATCTAGGAGAAGGGCATACCTATCCCTTAATTTATTGTTGTTTTTTTGTCAAGACTGCTTGGATCAGCCTTGCACTGTGCACTGTGGCATTATAATGCTTGAAATTAAGACAATGTTTTGGTAAACAAAAAAAGCAATAATACTATTACTGAAATTCATCAATATTTTGTTTAACTTCTTCCAGATGCACATCAGATATCTTTTAAATAGACACCTTCAGAAACACAGGGCTTTGCACTAGCTTCACTTTAATACTTAACATGACATATTTTTAAATTTATTTCTTAAATTTTTTTCAGAACTGGTTCAAAATTCAGTTTGTTTTTAACAGCTCTAAGTGATCCAAAATCAACAAAAAATATTATTTTCAGCAAAGAGAGTTAACAGAGAAAATACACTTTGTTAGTGATATTTTACTTTACAGTACTTTGTAAATTCTGCTTCATTTAAATAATTTAAAAGAATGTATTCTGTGCATATGCAGCATGGATAGGCGCTTTTCATTTTTTCCCAGCATTTTAGCTTCTCATATCTCATATCATAAGTGCTCTGGCAACAATACAGATTAGGAGTACAAATTCTAAGTTAATGAGATGATGCAAGCCCAGAACTGACATGCCTAAATGGATTTTGTAAAATAAGAAAACAACAATTCCCTCCAAAACACATTGAATTAAGTGAAATATATAAAAAAAACTTTTATTTATAAAGCACATTTCTAAATCCAAGGATGCTGATTAAACAAAACAGATGCTGGTGAGATATATATATAAAAAAAGATATCCAAATCTACATCTGATATATTGGCAGTACAATCCATAAATATACTAAGCAACAAAGAATCCTATCACTTATAACTGTAAGAAATTCGGAAAACTATGATTATAAAAATTACAATCTTTTGTAGCAGGTACACTGTCATTTTATTGAGCAGACATGACAACTCATTATGCTGATTGATGTAAGAACATACTGTAAAAAAGTTGCTTTCTCTTAGACCTGTATGTATTTAAAGCAACAGGATGGTGGCTTAGGGGCACTCTAAAGAAAACAGTATAAAGTTACAATCAGGCATATGCCTCTTCACAGGTCTCTGAGCCCTAGATACAATATATCATCCCAGTTCATCTTACAAATGTTCAAAGGGGCTCAATTCTAGTAAGGAGGTCATGTACAGCACAGTACTTCTGCATTTTCATCTTGCAAGACATCCACTATTACATGAGCAGCACAAGAGCATCCATTGCCTTGCTGTAATGTTAAGTGTTAATGTTAATGTTAAGGATAAGTCTGAAGGAACAGCAGCAATTGAGGTCCCAGAAGTGCGTCCTGTACATGTGATGTTCTTTGGCAGCCAGACATTATTGCCGTTACTCTTTGATCACCATTTATGGATCTCCCCATCGACTGGTCTGTTCCACACAACAATCTTGTTCTACATCCCCATAGCACACTTGCTGACATCGATCAAGATGATCTATACAAAACGTATGACTCAAGGCTGGAATCACTTGAGTCCCGTGCTGGCAAGGCCACCTGAGGTGACCAAATCCAGTATCCAAATATCAATGGTACAAAGGTATTACTCCCTTTTATATGTGGCACATAGGCCCTTGTGTTTTGCTTTCCTCATTTTTACTAGGCTTGACGTTCAACAGGTCAAATCACCTCATTACACGAGCCTAATCAACTCCATCATTAATGAAGTGATTTAGTACTTATGCAGCAAAGGTACTCGAGTGTACTGTACAATCATCAATCATGAATGATCAAAAACCAAAATCCAATTTAATCCAATTTAAATTTTAAAATTATTTTAACTAAATTCAATCTACTTTATTTTCCTAATAAATATACATGCTCACAGGTTATGCTTCCTTTCATTCTTAGTTTATCTTTATTTCAACATTAACCCAAATTTAAAAAATGTTGTTCCTTTTTTGGAAAACAGAAATACTCAGCCTATATCGTGTCCAGGAAAAAAAAAATCACTGTGTAATGAACCAGGTCAGATAATCAGAACAGATGCATGAAGGTGCTCCTGAGAAATAAATAGCAACTTCTGTTTAAGGTTTGTATTTGTGAGGCATAGAAATAGTGGATTGAGGAGTGATGTGGTTAGATGTCAAAATAAAGAATGCTAAATGAACATTTTTAGTAATGTTTACTACATGTAGAAAGCCTAATTACAAATATAATATGGTACTTTAGTGTGAGTGCTTACAGCTGGATTAATTATAACATTTTTTCAGTACAGCTCTCAAATCAGTTATGCTTTGCGGATGGGATTTTTTGTCTAGGGTAGAAAGCTAAGAAGAGAAGCTGTGAAAGAAAAAAGTTGCACTGTGGAAAAAAGTTAGCATTCTGCCCTGGAGTATCATTATTACAAGATTGGAGGAACATTCATAAACCATTCTTTCTGAGACCGTTTTCTTTCAAAAAATGCTTGGGTTTAAACAAACACAACCTGCATTAGTTATAGATATTAGTACTTTAGCACACAAATATGCCCATACTCAAGCCAGGACCGAATTCAAAGAAGCCAACTAACCTATTAGCATGTCTTTAAACTGTGGAAGGAAACCAGAGAACTCGGAGAAAACCCACAGAGATACAGGAAGAACACACACTCCACATAGATAGCACCTGAGGAATTGAATTTAGGAACCCAGTGCTTCAATGATGCAATGCTAACCACTGTGCCTTAGATAATATGAAAGAAAAATATACAAGTCATGTTTGCATAAGTATGTGACAAACCTAAATTAAATGCACAAAATTACCTTAACAAGCCTGATAAACGCTTGTATTGTCTGGTTTGTGTTTCAATGTAGATTCTGACGAGGTCTTCTGGGTTTACTTGGTCGATGCCCACTAGGATTTCGTAATATGTTGAATATAGTTGTACTGAAACACAGTCAATGAGGTCTTACTAGTATGCCTTTGTTTCTTCCCATTGTCCTGGAGATTAAAATGTTTAAAATGTAGCAGAAACACAAAGACACAAATGTCTTCTTCAAAGGTAGCTTCTTTAAGTTGATTTCCAACTTAAACTTATAGTGATAGTTGGTAGCTATATAAAACACTCTGCCCTTGTCTACATTTTTAGGTTATTTTCCAGGTGTTTACCCAGCATTGAATCTTTATCTAAAGCTTTTTAACTTCCTTAGCTGCTTTTATAGTTGTGGCGAGGGCCAAACACTAGGTCACAAATTGTGGCCCTAAGTCATTATGTCACCTGGTTTTATGTGCACATTTGGGTGGTCTGTCACTATGTCATTATTTTATGTGCACATTTGGGTGGCCCTAAGTCATTATGTCACCTGGTTTTATGTGCACATTTGGGTGGTCTGTCACTATGTTGGCATGTAGCAGCCCTCTGGGCTCCTATGACACTGGAGGCTATGGCACTGGTGGTCCCTTTGCAGAGATGGTTGCTCAGTTCCAAAAATCAGGTAATCTCAGAGAGGCATTTGTTAGCAAAGTCTCTTCAGTTCCTCTTCTTTCCTATGGATCACTTTTCAGTCTTCAGAAAACCACCAGAATAGCTGGAACAGATGAATTCTTGTTAAAGACTTAATTTCTCTACATTATCTAAGAAAAACAATTATCCATTCCATCCATTGGGACAACCTGTCACACTTAACTGGGCTCACCCATTAATATACAGCCCATACAGAGGGAGAACATGCAAACTCTATGCAGATAACACCCCAAGTCGGGAATTGAACCAGGGAACCCTGCACTGCAAGGCAGGCAATGCTAGCCATTGTATCACAATGCCAATCTTAAAATTAAAATATGAGGAACTCAATTAACTTAGTATAAACATATTCACAGAAATCATCCCAGGACTCTAGATTTGTGTTTAATAAGAATTTTAATTTAAAAATTGATATTGTTACAGAAATAATTTTTATCACTGAATCCTTTGACTTGAACCAGGCAATCAGTGCTTTTTAAAATTACATCCTGTCATGCTTTGAAAAGTAAAATCTCTGATAAACCACTTTTTTCAAAATCACAATATATTAGTTTTTCTCATACATGAAGTTGTGCAAAAGAACATTACAAAGCATTGAGCACTGACACAAAAGATAAAACAATTTAAACATCTGAAAGCATTACACAATTCCAAGTATTCAGTGAGAATTTAAGGCCATTTTGTACTAAATTTATTTTTTTGTAATTCAACACACTATCCACAAAACTGGTGCATTTCTTGTAAAACTGTACATGCAAACATAGTGCGCGCTATAAGATAGGACAAGCATTCTATAGAGTATTTGGATATCCCAGTAAACAAAGTTCATGTGCACAAAGTCACATGACTGTGCATTAACATTTTCTGGCACATTCACCTGATTGGTTCACACATGCACACATCATGGCAATGTGACACTAAGGTGACACCAACAAAGTAATAATATTCTAAAACCAATATCCCTTTCTAAGGAGTGTGCTAGCCTTCAAGATATTGACTATTAGTCTTTTATTTCTTTACAAAAGTGCTCTCCTAAAAACATAGTCATCTACAGTTGTGTGATTTCTGATGTTAAAGACTGTGTCTTGAATGAAGACTCAAATGGAGAATAAGAACTCAAATAAGGTCATTATAACTCAATAATACTAAAGTACACTATTGGCACAAGTCTAAAAAAAAAGATTTATATTTTTTTCTGATTTTCAACCTCAGGTTTCACTGGATGTCAATTACTTTTTTGACATTACAATTTGTCTTGGTCCACATCTGATTATGTGTCATCTAACCAATATATTATCATGCTGTTTTGGCACAAAATGACTGGACAAGAAGCATTCACAAGGGTATAGCTTTACAATGCTACATGCCACAGTGAGGACATTTTTGATTACTAAGATATTTGGTTATTTTTTCATTCCTTTTTTAGTTTTTTTTTGTGTAGTTTCACAAAATGGTACAGTACATATCTAAATGCAGCTGCCTTTTGGTAAAGCTATTCTGAAGATATATTTTTGGTCTAGCTAAGAGAACCCCAATTTACCAATACTTTACTCCATAGTGATACACCAAAGCTTTACATCATAATTTGAAGGCGCATGAAGAGACATCAAATTTTAACAAACCTTACATTTAATGTGCCTCAAGCTGAGTTTTCTAGATCATTTTAAGAAACAACATTCCCAATCCTAATAACATACCACATTGTTTAAAATCAAATGGTAAATTAACTAAAACTAAAATCAGTCAGCAAAATTATTTTGCCAACACCAGCAAAGCAGGGTTATATTCATTGTATTCTGAAAAACAGTTGTATTTAAAGAATGCCTGAAGTCTGTTTTTAGTAGCTGTTTTTCATAAAACCTTAAAATAGCAAAAACATTATTGAATGATAATTTGCACTCTTGAAATTAAATCATACATTTGAATCATAAAAAGATGAGACAACATTTCATAAATAGTGTCCATGGCGTCAAATGATACTGGAAGCAAGTAGTTTAAATTTGTTACCTGAAATACAATAAAGAAATATAAGGCTTGTTGAATAAGTGCTGACTTACATAAATATCCCATGAAAAGTAGACACCTTCTTAACAAGGCAATTTCATAATACAGTGTTAGCATTAATATTTTAAGTTATACATCATAAGTCTGAATAAAGGTGGTTATGCATGCAGGACACACTGCAATGTCTTTTTAAATTTAACACTCTAAAGAAGGGATATGGTTTTATGTTTTGTATCACGTTCACCTGCAAGGTAGCACAGAAGAATAATTATTCCAAAGTATATATTTAAAGAATTATTATAAAAGTATTCAACTGTAAAAATCATTAACATGTAAACATTAAGAAAGAGAGGAAATGCATTCCCATATTTATTTACAACAGTCAAGGGATTAAGAATCCAGGTAAAATAAGATGATCAGATGCTTTTCTTCCTTAACATCTTAAAAGCCTTTCCTTTTTAACTCATCATAGCTTTTGTTTTTTTAGCTACGAATCGGCTTCAAAACCCACTGTTGTTTTTCCAAGGCATTCATGAAGACCCTCAGAGATCTTTATGCCAACTGACCTTATTAATCCACAGTTGCTTTTGTTGTAGTCCTTAAAGAAGAATGCTTGAATGGAAGTAAACATGCCTTCGAAGACTTCCCAGATCAAGTGTCCCCTTGTTTCCAGTCTACATAGTGCAAGCAGATAGAGGAGATGCCTGGGCAACTCTGAGTGATTCTGAGTATTGGAGGGCAAGTGGTTGAGGGTGATTCCAGGTGCTAATGTCAGATCTGGGTCTGCAGGGGATGTCCAGGGGGTGTGTAGGGAGGGGGAGCAGGAGACGGTTTGATCCCTCTAGCTTTCATGTAAGACAAGAACTGGTCAGGAATCTCAGCTAGTACATCCTTTGCCAGTCGCGCCATGCTCAGAATGTGGTTTCCTGTCCTGTCTATATAATCTCGGAATGGGACAAACTAGAAAACAAAAGAAGAGTATCCCAGTTATTCCCTACCTTCAAAGAAAAAGTATTACTCTTATGTTATCTGACATACATACAAAAGAGACAAGTTTTTCACATCCAAGTCACAGCCAGTGGTAGCATCACTCAAACAAAACTCAGTATAGTCTAATTATGGCCCTCTGGGCAATTGTAGAATAGACTCAAACAAAGATTTCAATAAGGTGTTAACCACTGTGCTGCATATCTCCTCTAGAGAATTTTATACAATAGGAAAACTAGCAATTCACCTTACAAGCTTTACAAGAACAAATGAGACGCAACAAGCAGGTAACCAGTCCTCTCTGGCCAAGGTCAAGCTCTGAACAGATGACAGGTCCCTACAAAGTGTTGCCATCTGTAAAAACGAGTTGCACAATCTGGCTGCATGTGAATGGCTTTGCCATAAAAGCATAAGCAGATGTCGATTTGTGCTGGTGATGGAAACATCTCCCTAGTGTGTGTGCCACACTGTGCACCTGCTGCCACTGTCATCTGCTGTCAATATCTGAGGAAATGTTCAGCAATTAAGTGCAGTTGTCCCTGGTGTTCTGTACTGCTGAAGCATACAAAGTCTATTCAATCTTATTAATTTGGACCTAGTCAGATAAAAAGCAGTTGCAATAGGCTAGGTATTCTACAAAATATACATATATTGGTATAGGTTTTTTGCAGTTTCAGTATCAGACTGAATAAGTGAACAGCATTTTTTGGATGTGCATGGTTTCATTGATGCCGTCTACATCCGAGAAATATTTTTTTTCAGTAACTTGTTCAAAAGGGTCCTGCAATTAAAGCTCTATGATACCTAGTGATCTCTATAATACAAACTGGAAATCTAATGAAACATAGTGATTGAAATACAATAATTTTTAAAAAAACTAATCACAATTAGTTATTTAGCTGATATTTTTATGTAAGACTTAGAAAATCATATCTTCCAACTGAAAGCAGGAGGTATACACAAAGGTGAGCAGTGTACATTTGAATTACTATTATCTTTTTGGTTTGTCATTTTGTTTCTAGAGAAAACATTCTCCTTGTTCTGTTTATTCCATCAATTAGATTTAAATTTGTATTACATTTTGCACTATAAAATGTGTCACCAACAGAAACTATAATCCCTAGGTTTCACTTCATAGTCTAACAATTAAGTTAGCAATCAAGTCTTCAAGCTCTCCTAAATTGCTTATTTTGTTGTATGGCAAACACCTATACACTAACTTCAAAATACCACAAAGATTAAAGTGTCCTCATTATGTGAAACACTCTACAAAATTAACTTTACAGATAACCTTTTTAAGGATACCAAACGTTATATCTAGCATTTTTAAAACTAAGTATAAAATTGTATTGATAAAAATTGGTGGTAGTAACTAACTCTTAAATCTTGGCTGATATGACGGCAAGCACTGCAGTACAGGTCATAGGAATTAATGTATAAACCACTTATAATCTATAACACATGAAGAGAACATTAATTCAGTGTCGATATCCTGGAAGACAGAGATCTGTACTAGTAATTAATTGCACTGAAAGCTATCATTAGTCATAACTACTTAATTAACTACTCAGGTAGGATTATAGAATATCATTTCAGTCACTACAACAAAATTAAATTTAAGAGATAACAAGAATTCTTCCAACTACTAGAAGTGATTTAAAAATGGAATCTTAAGTAATATGCTTGTTGCACAAAAACTCACAAATTAATCTTAATAATTAAAATAATTACTGATAATATGTTTTGCGTGTCTGATTATTGTAAACCAGGCCTTAAATACTTTTTACCTACCTAAAACATCTTGTACATGAAATCCCTTAATTGAAAAGAAACCTGTAAAAACTAACTCCTATCTTTTAAAAGACAAAAACAAAGAGAGAGGCAGGCTCTAAAAAGGAATCTCAATATGTTAACCTTTTAAATCCAAATTAGTCTAGACTGAATTTGTGGGGACTGGTGAGGCATGGCAAAAGCATAAGAGGTGTTATAAAAAGAATACTAATCAGGAACACAGGGACACTCTTCTTAGTCTTTGACAATCAAATAGACTCATTCCTGAACTGAATTAAAGTATTTATGATTCCACTTATACCAAATTTCATTCATACTGTGTAGTATGGACAGGCTTTTCATATGAAACACTGTTTTTCTAATTTTAAGAGTATCAGTTACAAACTGAAATTAATATCACATGATTATGAAGGTAAATTATACTCCATGAGTTTCTGTGGTTTGCCAAGGTAATCAACACTGAAATTGTGGCCAAAGCCTATAGACTAACTACAAAATAGTATTTGTTTCACCAGTGTACCACTATGATTATAGTTGACAAGCTTTTCTTTAGGCAATATTGTTATTTGCAAGTCAGGTGTATCACCTTGCCACTTTCATTCAGTGGATTCAATGGTTGCGTTATGCAGAGCACAGCTATTTACATAAAGCTGACCAACTAGAAATAGAAGCTGTGCACTGAGGGCACAAGGAGTGAGCATGTGCTAGCTGCAGACTTGAAGGAATGGATGACAATTTTCAGCAACCAATGGACTAAAAGATATTACAGATTTGACACCCCAATGTGAAGACTACTGATCTCAGATATCTTAAAACTTGGAGGAGATGAGAATTGGGAATAGAGAAGGAATGGAGTTTATAAACAAGAAAAAACAGAAGGATGCCAGATCTAAGGTTACAGTGCAGTAAGGTTCAGTGTCCTGGGCCCCTCAGTAGCAACACTGGTTCCACTGGGGTAAATGAGTTGCTTCTTCAAAATCGCTTGCAGTATTCATACAAATATACAAATGTTAATAATTAGTATTGATTTGAAAATATCAAAAGTAAAAGGCCTAAATATAATCTTCTGCATTTAATTTTCAACACCTACTGTACAGCTTTAGGAAAAACCTCAGTTTAATTCTCGTTCAAATAACACCACCTCCCCCAGCTCAACACCCCCTTGCATCCTGCTGTGTTTTAAGTTATGCAATGTACAGTTTTGAGGCAAGTGAAACTGAACAGTAATTTTTCTGAAAGGAAAATTGTCGACATCATGGAAATATAATAAAAGAAATACCAGGCATGTAAGAAGCCTCATATGTGTTTCTTTCTTTTATTCTTCTATTTATTCTATTTTATTTCTTTTATTCTATTAAAATGTTACTGTTTTACTGTGTTTATGTCCTGAACTTTCTATTATCCTCAATCGGGATATCTTGAAAATATGTATTCATTTTTTTAAGTTAAAGGTCATACCAGAAAAAATGAAACAGTGTTATGTTTTGGCATTCTTAAATAATATATTTGGCACTGTTTTTTTTTATATAGAAGATATACTGTACCTGAACAATGTCTCTTTCTGCGTATCTTCCTCTTGATGAGATTCTAATCTCATCTCCATCCAGCTCGATCATGGCTGAAAACAAAATTTTAGTTCAGTAACAGAACTAATGCAATCCCATTATCCATCCATCCACCCTTTATCAGAAAGCTAATAAAGCTTTTTCTGGTGAGGGTTGCAGCAGCCTGGAGCCTATCCCCAAAGCTTTGGGCACAGGGAAGAGCACCAGTCCATCACAGTGCACACACAAACATAAAAAAGAGACATCGGTTAACCTGGACATCTGTCTTTGGAAGTTGGAAAAACAGAGGACCAGAGAAATGCACACACACATGGAGGGACACACAATCTCCACATAAAAGTTACCCCATTCCAGAAAGGAGTCTAAGACAGGAATTGTGAGGCAGTAGTGCTAACCAGTAGTGCTGGCCCTATTGCTGATAAATAAAATAAAGACATGGGCATAGATAATATATAAAACAATTAGGTAAATTAAATAGGGCATTACACATTAAGTAGAATAATTTGGTGAACAAATGAAGAGTTTGTATATTCTCGTACACTAGATAAATAGCATGCACCTAAGCACACTTTGTTGTTTAGCTTATAACACTGATTCAATTTGTATGCATGTCTGGTGTTACCTTGTTGAAAAATACAGTAAGTGCATAACATGAAAAATAAATTTCAGGCTACTCTCTATTTGCAGACATATTTGTCAGAAATATCATTTTCCTTATTTTCTTTTGATTATTATGAACAACTTAGACATCCAATTTCTTGCTAATTCTATGTCCTCTGCTTGCGTCTTGTGCTGTCATAAATGAAATGTATTTAACTTGCCAAAAGAATGAAGAATATATTTGCATATTAATGATCCTTGGATGAATTATCTACTAACTACCCAACAACCTACAGTAGATAGTTCAAATGGTCCCATTCTCCCTACTACCCTTTCTCATACAGTATGTAGAGCACTTGTCTGTTTATTACCCAAAGGAGGTTTAAGTTTTTTTTTAAAGACTGTATGAATTCTGGGATCACTTTTCTGAAGGAGTGTAAGATATTTTATTCCAGCTGCTTTACATTTTAAATCTAGCTTTTTAGCATGCTAATAAATGTTAAAGATGTTTTGCTTCTGTCAAAAAATATCAAGAACTGAAATTGATTAAAATGAACACGGCAGACTAAGGAGGAGGCACTGTAAAAACACTTAAATTAGTGTTTCAGTGCAAATATCATGTCCACTGACGGCTTTAAATACAGTGCTGTTCCATTTTTTTTTCAGTAACTTTGTCCTGCCTTGCAAAAATCAATTTTATATGAAATTCAGAGTGATAGCTTGGGAAAATATTCAGAACAAATGTTTGTGTATGAAGTCCCATTAAATATCTATACACATTGGGTAGTTTCACATCTATCCATTTTTTAACACTTTATCTAAAAAGCACATAACAGGGTCACCAGAGAGCAGGACCCTAACTCCGCAAGCAACAGGCATGAGGCAGGATACACCTTGGAAAGGACATCAGTCCGTAGCAGGAAACACACACTCACATCTAAGCCAGTTAAACTACTAACTGATCTACAACCGACTTGAATTGTGTGAGGAAAGTGGAGTACCCAGAGGAAACTCAGATGAACACAGGGAAAACATACAAACTCCACATGGTTAGCACCCCAGGGACCCAGCTCTGCAAGGCAGTGGCACATGCAGATCTGGATCATTTGTAAAGCAGTTATACACTTTTGTCGATATTTTGAAAAAAAAAAACGTTTTCAAGATGAAAGATCCGATACGATTACAACTTCAAATTCTTTATTTTGGCCTCATTTTTATCAGCCTCTCGACCAACCTATCTTTGAACATAACACTTCAACAAGCAGTCAGTTCCAAGGATAACCTGTACACAGGAGATTATAGCCTTTAATGAACTCTCACTATTGTCATCTACTATTTTGTGCCAGTTTTATTGTTGTTTTTATCATCTTTTGTTGCCTGGCTAAACAGATAAGAAGTCTGTGGACAGTTTATTTTGTCAAAGCTCTATTTCACGCAGAAGATTTGAAAAAGCTATAGCAAAAAAATCAGATCTGTATTTTATCTGATCGCTCTGCAGCTTTAAACTTGGACTAATTTAAGAACCAAACAAAACTGTGCTGAGTGACAAACTACTTTTCAAGCCTGAATTCAACAATAAACTGATACTGAAAAACAGAAGGTTTCTCCCTGCTTTTATTTATGAGTCATTCCCAAATCTTGTTTGTGCTTTAATTCTATGGATTATTTCCAATTAACACTTTCAGAATACAGCTTTTGTTTATCAGAACATGCTATGATTAATTATAATACAACACCGCCAACGACATTAAAGTTTAAACATTAAGAAAAATTTAAGTTTTTAATTTTCACCTACTAACCTAATTTAGAATTCAGAACTGGAAAACCTGAAACTTTGTGAACAGAAATGTTATTGACCTATTATTAAGTATTATATTAGCTTAGTTACATCTTATTTACAAAGTTATAATACAGCATAGTTACCATTTGTTATTGTTAAAAGTTAAATCACTCCCTCTAAGGATCACAAAGCTTCCAAGCTTATCCAAGTGTGGTCAATATAATTAAAAGCAACTAATGATTTTAGGTATATTTCAGATTAATCATCATCCACACACGAGAATCCCTGTTTCAAGATCAGATTTTTTTAAACTTACCATCAAACTCTGCTGGTCCAACTCCAACAATTATAATTGACATGGGAAGAGTAGAGGCCTTTAAGTAAAGGGAAAATAAAAATCAGTTTAACTTCAGTACTAAAAAAATATAGACAGTCCATATTTTATATGATGATAAAAATATTAAGGGCCACATTCATAATACATTTTCAAGGCAGAATAAATTACTACTGTTTATTGACTAGTGAGAGATGTATTGAGAAGTGTCACATAAATATTTTAGAATGCAAATTAAAGAGCTCTCAGAACAAGTTTAAATATTCCTTTTGAAGCTGTAGATTTATGATTTTTCTTTTTTTTAAAAAGGGGGTGATAAACTTAAAGTAATACCAAACCTTTATGAATTTGGCCCTTGCTATTGCTAAAATCGAGATGGAGTTGACAGAATTGATTCTCATTTACACTTTATATGATGCACAAAATATAATTTTTCATCCTGTCATTCAAGACAAGGCTTTATTTTAAGATTTTAAAGGCAAAGGTAATAGACCCTTAGAATTATGGTATTATTGTGCTTGGTGTTGTAAGAATCTTCACCCCAATATTTGAGAAAAGCAAAAAGCCTGGCCTTATTAAAAATGTTTGCAAATTGTTTGTATGGATGTGGGATTGTTCAATTTAATCATACAAAATTAGATGACCAACCACAAAATTCACTGAGCCCATAACTTAACAATATTAGGCACACTGTTCATCCATATGCAAGTAAAAAATGAATAAGGGAAACTATCTGGTGAACTATAGTTCTTAATTGACATTTTTAAATAGTACCTATCCCAATTGCTATTATTCTTAAAATACAATTATTTCTAGTTTGGAGAACGAAAGAAAATCAGATGCCCTTCTCATCCTTTGTTGTCCTACTCCCCAGTACCATTGCTCAAAAACTTGCAATGCAATCTATTTCTCTTGCTTGGTAAAATCATCAGGCATAAATACATGCAATGACTTTTAAGAAGAAGTGCCATTTCACTTGAACAATAGTAAAAAACAAAGAGAAATAAAAAGTGTGTATGCATTTTCTTTCCATGGCTATGAAACGTGCTCACAGGATCTAGAGATTGAGAAGGTCTGCTTGGAACATTTATCTTGGCAATGAACAATTTCTTTGTCAATTTGGATCTATGATTTAGATATCCTATATTTTCAGCTAAACTTAGGCTCCTTGGCAGAAGTAACCAGGTGTTTGGCCAAAATGTCCTGGTACTTTGATACCCGGTCTACAGTTTCTACCCTGAAGATTTTGGTTTGTGTTGTCTCCTGACTCACTTCTAAATTTCTTCATACTACACACTTTCACAGTGGAGAATGGGAAATTCAGCTTTTTATTCTTTCATTTACAGCCAGCCTCAACTTGTGGAGGTCATTGATCATTTGCGGTTTTCAGAGAGCTCTCTGCCTTCAACCATGATGATACCTGGTACTACTAAATGTCTTCAGTTTGTTACTTCCTTTTATACCACAAGGAAACAGGAACCCTTGGGAAGCATCTTCATAGTTCCATACAGTAGGTTTCCATGGAGCTTCCAAGGAGCAGAAATTTATTGGCATTTTGTTGTTGGATTTTAATTAAAGGCATACGTAGAGGTGAGAATCAAAGTGCCCTACAGTATGTGTTTCCTGGAATTTAATTAATTACTGATTACAAATATGACTTTTATCATCCAATTTTATTAATATTACAGTCAAACATTTTCAGAATTGTTTTAAGCTGAACACTATGAAATTCATACACTGCCCTGCTATTCTGTTTTTTTTATTCCAGTTTAAAGAGAATATCATTAATTTACTGTTGCTTCAAAAATCTGGAGTGGACTGTATATAAATCAAGAGTACTCATTATTCTACTGGGGCACTGAATATTTCATAGAATTGATAATAACCCAGCCCTGGCAAAGAAAACCAAACATTTTTGTTATGGATTGTTGTTGAAAAAGTGATAATTCAGTAAACTTCTATGATTTATTACCTTTCAGAAACTAGTTGTCAAGCACATTATATAGCTGTAAACAGCAGAAATGGCTGGAGGAAAAGAATGAAGGGTGTTGAAAATGATTAACGATTTATTTCAAGTTCTCTGAAAATGTTTAATTACTTTATTAGAAAGGAGTTTTTTTAAATACACAATACAGTCATATTAGTTTTATTTCACTTTGATACATAAGCTCCCGAGGATGATATATTCTTTTCTAATCAACTTGAAGGAACTAATTTAAAATCAACTCTAAATTTGGTTCTTTCAGTTATAGAATCTATCAGTCCTTAAGATAAAAGCAAATATAAAGTAGTGGTGATAGGTTTTTCTTCTCTTGAGATACCTCTCAAAAAGTCTGATTTGTGTTGAGGCATTTATTTTAGTTAGGTATTTACTCAGAATAAGCTTATATTCAACCAAAAAGGTTGCTAGAGAGCAAATTTATAATGATGAATTTTGTGCATCTGTCATCCGTACATCCAATGTGCGCAATCTTGCTTTTTAAGCACAAACTCACACTTCTGCTTCATCTGTGCACACCATTGAAAATCACTTCCTGAAAGCCATTATTAATGTTGGTGCTAGCACTCAAACTGGTACAGGTTCCAAAACAAAACAGAACTTTCTGAAAACAACTCACTTCCTTAAGTGTTGGTTTCCATAATTGGACCTCTAATTTTCATGCTTCTGGTATATAAATAGTTAATGTTGCCCGAGTCTGTACGCCTCTTTGATGTTCTTTGTTGGTGCCTTGTGTTACATTTATATATATATAAATGTTCATTCTATTCTGTCTAGAAATAATATCCGTCCATTTTCCAATTTCTAACTGCTTCATCCAAAACAGGGTCATGGGGGAGCCAAAGCCTATCCCAGCAAACAAGAGGCACAAGGCAGGATGCATCCTGGATGGATTCTAATCCATCTCAAAGCACACTATCACACCAGCGCCAATTTTCCCAGAAGCCAGTTAACCTACCAGCATGTCTTTGAAATGTGAGAGGAAACCGGAGCACCTGGGGGAAACCCATGTGAACAAGGGGAGAACATACAAACTCCACAGTAGCCTGGGAATTAAACCCAGGACCCCGTTGCTGTGAGGAAGCAATGATAACCACTGGGCCACTTTGCCATCCATTATTATTCATTTATAAGAGAATGACAATATCTCAATAGATATAGTATATATATATAATGAGTAAAACTATTTGTTCTCATGAACACAACTTTTACAAGTATCATTATAACAGAAAAGGTTTTGCACAACTTGATAACAAAATGTGGATAGGGATATTTAACTATTTTTGCCTAAACCTTACAGCAAAGAAAACATTGAAAAACTCTTACATTGACAATCGCTTCTTTTGTCTGTGCCATATCTGAGATCACTCCATCCGTTATGATCAGCAAAACAAAATATTGTGAGCCATCTTTCACAGATGCAGCATATCTGTGTGAGAAACAAAAAGGTTTCTTAAAGGAAGGGAAATACCCTCTAAAACAAAATGATAAATCTTTATCTATATTACAATTTAACAATGTAGGAAATCAAACCACCAAAAACAAAATTATCATAACAGACAAGAACACAAAACTTGTTTTGTCACTGATGCAGAAAGTTTCATTTAGATTCAGAATAAATTTGATAAACCTTTTTTAATTGGAATGTTCAGTATAATTATTAGGAACTTGAACATTGGGATTTCACTTGGTCAGTAGCTAATAAATATAGTTATACAGTAAGCAGGAACTGGGTGTCTTAAAGTAAAAAGAAGTGGGAGGATATACATTTCAAAACTGTAGAAAATACAGAGAATATTCTGGATCATACCCCCTTTGACCACAATGAATAGCAGACTACAAAAGCAGTATCTTATCACTGGACTGCAGTGTGGATTCCACATGTTTGCGTTTGATAATAACACTATTGCTGGATTTCTTACAGGTTTTCTCTCTGATAAGGTAAACAGCCATTCACCTTTAGGAACTGATCCTGGATAAAAACTTGACAATCATGCCTAGACTAAATTACTTAAATATTACTCTATGGCACCTTGGGGAATTGGGAATTTGTGATTCTTGCCCTATTCTTCCCTAGCCTAGACACTGAAGCTCTTGTACAGTCAGATACAATATTGTGTCCTATTTAGAATTGGGGTAGCTAATTTTGGTAATCTAGTGCCTGCAGCATCTGTATTTATTACAAGAACAAAGAAAAGTTCATTGTAGTTAGCAGGGAGGGCATGAGTGTAATTGACTTGGGAAGTTTTCTTATTTATTTTCAGTTGAAGCAGTAGTAATTGTATTAAAAAGAGTATTTTAATCTTTATGTATTTTAAAATCAGAATTATCCCCAAAGGAACTGTAACACATCAGCTATAAACAAAGGGTTATGTAATATTTTGAAGACTTACAAAACCAGGTGGATTGTAAGAAAGCTATTTTTTCTTATTTGTGACACGTAAGCTACAGTGTTCAAAATTTGAAGACTTCTTTGATGACTCCTTAGCCAACACGAGTAAGACTTGGTCAAACAAAAAATTGATTCATATAAATGTATTAGAAATGAATCTGTAAACATTGTATTTACTATAGTGTTATAATTATAGCCTTCAAAATGACTATTTACCCTACCTGTATATACTAATTACCAATAAAAAAACAAAAATACATTTAGCAATGTAGAAAAGAGGTGTTAGTGGGGCCAGCAGGGGGCGCTCACCCTGCGGTCCATGTGGGTCCTAATGCCCCAGAATAGTGACGGGGACACTATACTGTAAAAACAGGCGCCGTCCTTCGGATGAGACGTAAAACCGAGGTCCTGACTTTCTGTGGTCATTAAAAATCCCAGGGCGTTTCTCGAAAAGAGTAGGGGTGTAACCCCGCTTCCTGGCCAAATTTCCCATTGGCCCTTACCAATCATGGCTTCCTAATAATCCCCCTCTATGAACTGGCTACATTACTCTGTTCTCCTTCCCACTGATAGCTGATGTGTGGTGAGCGTTCTGGGGCACTATGGCTGCCGTCGCATCATCCAGGTGGGGGCTACACATTGGTGATTGAGGGGAGTCCCCATTACCTGTAAAGTGCTTTGAGTGGAGTGTCCACAAAAGCACTATATAAGTGTAAGCAATTATTATTATTATTATTATTAATAATAAAAGTACAGTACTGCTTTATGGGTTTTGCTTTACCTGTCAAAAAGGTCATGAGCCACTAAATGGAAGATGTACACTAGTTATTAACAAATTAAAGAACTTTCAGGCACCTTTGAAGAAATACAGACAAAAATTAAATTAATTTCCTTGTTTCTCAGATAACAGTGGCTCCAGGAACATTTTCCTTGAGAATTTTCTTTTTTATGAACTCAAGAATGTCTTTGAAATACACTAATTACTGAGAGTCTAAGAAATGTGTGATAAGCCCTCGTTAACACCTCAGTTCCTATTAACTCATTTTTGCACTTTAAAGATTTGTCTTCATAACAGCACCTCACTAGGAAAAATAAGTCCCTATTAAAATCTGGTTCCTCCCATTAAGTGACATTCTTTAAGTTTAATAAACTAATACTTCTTCCTATCATGTAAGTTTACATTTAACTTAACAAATTACAATATGTTCTGAATGTGGTAGCTGGAGTCCTGTCTTGGGACCCTTGCACTGGCATCCTATTTGGATGAGAACTGATTAAATAGTTTATGTTCAGAGCAGGGTAGCATATTATAGTTGTATAGTGGTATAGTGGACAGACTGGGAGCAGAGTGCTGAAAGAACCTTTTTCAAAGATTTCTTTGGGCTGCCTTAAATGAAAACATTGGATGCCTTTTTGTTTGCACTTTTAATTATTTTTTAAATTAAGCTGTGGGCAAGTCTCTGGGTTCATGACTGGTGCTTGATTGTTCAGGTCCCTGCTGCAGTTGTACTTAGAGTGGCATACTTTACTTCAATTGCTCCAGTCCACCCAGCTCTGTACGTGTGTACCACTGTTTGCTGGGGGGGGTGTTTTGTTATGGACCGCCATCTCATCCAGGGAGGGAGACTTGTGTTCCCATTTCCTTAACTTCATGGATAGCAAGAACAGTTTTGAGCTGTTAGGCTGTTCTGGCTCAAATACAGAACAACCTTCCAATGTTCGAGACTGTGTTGTGTTTTTTCCCTCTCTCTGGGCTATTTTTTTTTTTTTTCTGCTGTTTTTCTTTTTTTATGTGTTCCCACTGTTGAGCTGGACATTATGAGAACGGGGAATTTGTATTTATGCCCCAAAGCTCTGGAACACTATCCCAAAAGAAATGGCTAAAAACACTGTTTTTTCAAATATTGTTTTCTTGGCTTTGTAATTTCTATTTTATTTTGTGTAATGTGCTTTTTATGTATTGTAAAGATGCCTGTAAAGGCACTATATGAAATAAAGTTAGATTTTTTAGCGAATCACCATTAGACTATCTACAGTAATTGTCCCGCTCATAATTGTCCTATTACATTCAAGCCTATTGTAAATGCTAAATTCAACACTTGTGTAATGGTACAGTACATAAACAAATGCCACATTATGCATTTGCAAGTATCATTTGCAGCCACTGGTTTTGCATGCTGTGTCAAGTTTTTTTTAATGTAATTTTTCTCCTTGGATATTAAACGCAAAGGTAAAAAGATAAATGTTTTGATATAACCTTAAAATATAGTCTTCTTTTTTCAAAAATTATATGACAACATATAAAATACATAAGCTTTCAACCCAAATGGAAAGCTCTAGAACCATCAATGTTTTTTTTAACAGTATATCACAGCAAATGTGGTTTAACTCTCTATTACAAAACTTATTTCAATGATTAATATATTTTTAATAAATCAAGAGATCCTATAATGATACTGTAATGAAAACTACATATGGACCAGCATTGAAGTTAATTTCATGATGCAAAATTCAATATCTATTATATTCTGCTAGTTTCCATGGATTTGGGTTTTAAATGAAACTAATACAAAGTGAGAATTATAATATTATTTTATTATTAGAATTAGTTTCATTAGATAGGTCCTTAACTATTTTTTCACATGCATTAGGTTTAAGTTCTCCATTACTTCACTATCTAAATAATGATAATTCTTATAAGCTCTATAAAACGTAATACTAAAATCAACATTAATAAAGAAACAACATAACTCGCTATTGAAATTTCAAAGGGCAGGCTAGATCAATGTACATTCACGCAAGCTAATATTGATTTTTCCAAAACACTACATTTTTATTTTCATCACTACACTTTCAAGAATGTATAGATAACAGAGAAACACGGGTTTGGAACAAGAACATATTTACTAAGATCAAGACAAATTATTTATTTGCAGCAAAAAAAAATTCTGCATAGCCTTTATGTTTTTTGGAAAACCTAATAATTACTTTGCAAAATTATGTTCCAGTAATTAAAAGTGTAGAAATCAATATATCAGCATTTTCTCTTCTTCATCAATTATTTTCTTTATCAGTATCTTTGAAATCATAGCTAACTGCTGTTTAATTCAGTTTACAGATTGATAAGAGTCAGATTGTTTCTATGTGTCATCCCACAGTTTAAATATCGTGGACATGTTTTGAACTGTGTTATTTAAAATGGAATACAAAACAAAATGATCCCAAGAAATGAATGATGTTAAGTTAAATCAGATAATCTTTGGGTTCCAGCACATGCAAGATGCAAACAAAGATGCCAAAAAATAGTGCATGCCAACAGTTTAAGGTCTTTGCAATATTTTCTGCAGTATTTCATCTACCAACAATGTTTTCATCTAAACACTTGACTAAATTAAATTTCAGTAAATACAGTCTGATCAGTACTTCACATTCTCATGAAGATGTTTTTTGACATTAGAGTCTTTTCCTGATTAGAACCTATTTGACATAAAACAGTTAATACTCTCATTCCCCAGTGCATAGGAACTACAAGGGCAATTGGGGATTCACAAAGTCACAGTGAACACTTTGTTATGTACACTTTATTACAGTGTTCTTCCTTCTGAAGTGTGGAAAGGCACTGGAATATTCTGGCCTAAAATATTTAAGATGCCTATAATGATACTGTGTATTACTGAGAGCTTCACACTTAACCTTCATGTCCATCTGCTGTGGTGTATAAGAGGACAACTGTCATTTTCAGAGTTTGGTCTTCTTAATCAGCTGAAGACCTTGCTCACCATAAATGAGAGAACTTTCTTATGCTTCTGTTCTGTACTTGTGTACTTTAGTGTACTAAGTTTAATAAAAAGCATTAAAATAAAGTTGTGTTATTATAGTCCTCAAGCAACAGAAATTAAAAAAGTACTAAATGTGGTAGTAAAAGTTTACCTTAATCCTTGCACTTCTTTGTTTAAAAAATGTTTAATGGAACATTTGCTCCATTTGTAATTAAAAAGACAATAGTAAGTTTACAATACAATATGTTTGTTATGTAATAATTTAAAGCTCTTATAATTGAGTATCAACTTGAATTATATGAATTATAAAGGAATGCACATGAAAAAGAAAATGCTTCCTGCTTACCTGGCTACATGGTTGATCACAGGTGAAAAGTTTGTGGGCCCATAGAGATGCACTGACTTCAAACTCTGGTAATAGGCATCCATTACTCCATCTATACCATTGCAGTATGGGTTCTGCGGATTTCCATTCTGGAATAGAATACCTCTGTATAAATTTTTCAACAAATACTTAAATATTTATAAGGCTGGCCATTTCACCTTCAATGTATTCTATATATTAAGATGCTCTGTGTAATTGCATTATATAGAGGTTCTTTGCCTTAAGTTATTGTTTTGTTTTCAATTTTGTCTATCATTCACTTACAAGGAGCACCATATACTATTTATTATCTGATGCATCTGGAGACAGACCAACTATTTCCTTATTAAGGAAAAAATGGTAGCAATATCACAGCAAGTCATATACTGATACGATATGAGAACTGAGAGAAAAGAGTGATTCTTTAACATTTTTATTATTAACAAAATTAATATTTTAATTTTAATTTCACAAAAGCAGTAATTAAGCTTTATTTGCTTTAAAACTGTGCAAAGATAAAACATTGTAATGGGTTTTACAATGCTGGATATAGCCTTTCAGTTTAGCTCTTTTAAAATTGGAAATTCAACAATATTTTCTAAACCCACCTAATCTGGATCCACCAATTGTTATCAACAGCAACCACTCATGTACTATACTGGGAGAATCAAGACCTGTAGACATGCTTCTGTGACAGAACCACTTGTTATAGCCATTCATCCTGAACACAGAGCAAGACCAAACACTTGCAGGATAATTATACCGAATGGAGGAGTGACATACAGTATCTCAGTGAGTAAACTGCAGGAATGTGGGAGATCAGCAGGTTACATGAATTACTCTAGCGTACAAAGCTGCAGGAACTCTAACTGACTCTAGCCTAGACAATCTAATTGGCAGGTAACCACCTAAGAACAAGAATAAAGGTTACAAACAAGAGGAGGCCATTTTGGCTGTTTGGAACAGATTAAGCACCAGGTAACAGCATTGGTGTTCATAAAAATGTCTAAAAGAAAGAGAATAATGTGTACTAGATACAAACAAACCCAGTTACCCACAGGCAGAAAATACATTTATATACAAACAGAAGTGAACTAAGTAAGACAGAATAAATACAAAGCAGCATATAAGCAGATTAACAAGTAAAGGGTTTATTCCATGCTGAAAAAAAAAGAAGAAAGAGAACACAACGTTTCGGCCGTGGAGTCTTCTTCAGGTGTGAGCATAAGCAGATTGTTTTATTGGAGAAATAATGGCAGTGGTTTAAATTTAATCCAAAGTTAAAAAGCTACCACAAGCAGTTAGGAGGCAATGGTTAGGAACAATGAAAGAGAAACTAGGGAGGGAGCAGCTGAATGTTAAACTGATGCAGAATGCACAATGAATGCTGGGATAGATGGAACTGAGGGCTAGTATTAATACCAAGTGTACAAACTTAGTTTTAAAAAGATGTCTATTACAGCTACAAGTTACTTGTGTAAGAAAATAGCATTTGAAAAGGAACAAGAGGTTGCGGTAAAAACATTTTATAAAGTCATCAATTACAATTATCTACTTAATAATAATAATAATAATAATAACATCACTTTATTAACCCTTTACAATTTCTTGCATTAGGAATTATCTTTTCACATACCCCAGCTTGCTCTCCATGAAACACACAGATAGGGAGAGAGCCAGGGGTCAGTCTGCCATAGGCTCTCAAGTTAAGGGCCTTGCTCAGGAGCCCAATGGAGTAGGATTCCTCTGCCGGCTGCGAGATTTGAACTGGCAACCTTCCAGCCACAGGCGCAGATCCTTAGCCACAGAGCCACCGCTCCGCCCCAAATTACTTATGTAGTTTTATAGTTATAGGATTAATAGTTAATTTATTATACATTCAGTACTGTAATGTTGTCCAATGCTTCATGAAAGAAAAAGTAATCCCTTACACATTACTTGTAACTGTAATGGATTACTTCTCAAAAGTAACTTACCCTGACACTATACCCTAGTAGCTATGATTGCAAGGAACTACTGTGTCTTTCTTCCAAACTGTCATTACAAACTTCAATTAAAAATATATATTCCATAAACTAATTTCTGTCTATACACATGGGCAGCAGCATGATAGTAGTACAGACTGCTTGCTGGAATATATCAGGTTAGGTGGACCATGCCAAGCCACATAATAAAGCAGTGTGGCTTATTTTGTAAAAATGAGGCTGAAAGACTGAAAAAATAAGTAAATACAAGCAACTTTCTATTCAGAGAAACAACTGAATGTGAAAGTTAACATTAAATTAGTGAGTCACAGTAAACAGTAACATTTAATTTCAGGACTTGGTTGTTAGTAGAAACAAAGGTTAGGAAACTTCAGTGATTAGTAATCAGGAGTAAATAAAAAAACATCCTTATTGTTCTTGCTGGTGGACTGCTTTAGTTGTTAACTCATGGGGTTAACAATTTACCTCTTAATGAACATGCATACAGAAGAACACCTAACATTCATATAGACATACCATACAACTTCAGCAACTTTGCTGAGACCTTATTTGAGACACAGTCAATAACATAGTCAAATATTCATAGCCATATAACCAATAACTTAAACAATTACTGTTGGATTTCTTTTCCTGTTTATAGTGTTATCACTGGGCCCCATCTTAAACAGAGCACTAGGTAAATTTGTCAGATATTTATTGTGTGTATTTATGTAATTACATTTTATAATCCCATTTATGGAAATAATCATTTTACCAGTGTCTTACAGGTACATCATTTTAACAAAAAAATCAATAAATATGAGCAACAAATGAAATACATTTCCAAATACCAATAGCCATTTGTTTTCATTGTCCATTCTCTGAGCTGATCAGTCATTTAGTGGCACTGATCCAAAAAACATGATCAAACCCAATCATCCATTTAATTATTTATGATGTGTAGGCTGATCTCAATTGGATTAATAAACTATAAAAACATAAAATGTATTAAATTAAATACAAGAACTGAAGTCTGGTACTTGCCTAATCAGACATTTTTAACCCTAAGACTACTGAAGCACAACATTTGTGAAAAATACCACTAATACAAATGGTCTCCTAGAGATAACTAATTATTACTGTTATATAACAACATTTCCTATGGTGTCTTGGATATACAGGAATTTATGCCTGTTGTTAATTAGGCACACAGCAAGATATTTGCAATTCATGATGTTATTTATCTTTGTCTTAAGGCAATTAGTATGACGGCACAGACGAAAAAGACATAAAAAGCATTCAGAAATTGTTGTAAATTTATTATCAGTAGGAATGTATAAAAATAAACCTCAGCTTACAGAGTGTTGCACATTACTTAAAACAGCTTAATTAAAATGTTTTATCAATTGAAAAACAAGTTTCTGACTACTATTTGAACATGTAAGTCTCCTAGTGAAGTTTAAATTGGACACACCAGGTTTAATAGATTGACTGGTATCCAGTGGGAATCACGTTCCACAAGTGGAAAAGTGCACACTTTACTGGCTCTGTGGTTAATTAGACACTCCCAGAGATCGGTAATCAGGTGTACAAATGCAGTCATCTAGAATGCGCGTCAACATTCACGACAGAAGAAAGCACTCTGCGGTAATCCATAATCCTGTCCAGAATACTGCTCTCAGCCCTTCACAGTTCAAAACAGATCAGCACATGCACTTGTGTTATGTGAGATGTTACTGAAATTGTAGCTTCATTTATTATGTTTTTTATTGGTCTAAGTCATTATATTTCTTGAAATATATAACATTTTATATATTATATAAACATCTAAAATACATAGCCTAGCTACATTTGTAAAATATATATTTAAAATATTTCATATATTTTAAAATATATATAAAAATATATTTTTCTGAAAAGGCGATAACATGTAATGAATGGAGGCTAGATCATAACCTTTTCCTGGTTTCATGGAAATTCCCAGAAAACAAGGAATTTGATGGGGTAACTATAAACTAATCAAAACAATTTAAATTGTTCATGTTGCAATTTGTTGTTATCATTGAGGTACACATTGCTCGAAACATTTTAATATCATTTTGATGATCATTTGCAAAGCAGTGATGTAAATAATTCCTTCAATATGAAGGCAGTATACACAATGCTTCCCCACTTAGTGCATTTCGAAGGAAATACTACACCATGAAGAGCAAGGAACATTCCAAGCAGATCCGAGACAAGGTTCTTGAAAAATACCAGTCAGGGCAAGGATATAAGAAATTTTCCAAGGCATTGAATATATCTCAAAGCACAGTGAAGTCCCTCATTAAAAAAGGTGAGAAAATATGGAACAACTGTGAATCCGCCCAGAACTGTCCATCCTCCAAAACTGAATGTCTGGGCATGAAGCCACCAAGAGGCCTACAGCAAATCTAAAGGAGTTACAGTCCTCCATAACAGAGATGGGAGAAACTGTGCATGAGACAACAATAGCATGCACACCTCATAAATCTGGCTTGCAGGGAAGGGTGGCAAGAATAATGTGATACTGTATGAGTTTGTTGAAAAAAACTCATATCACACCTTTGCTGGAGTTTTCCAAAAGGAGAGACTTGTTGAGAGACTTAACAATTTGGAGGAGGATTCTATGATGTGATGAGACCAAAATTGAACTTTATGTTTGGCGGAAACCTAACACAGCACAACACACTGAGAACACCATCCCTACAGTAAAACATGGTAGTGGCAGTATAATGCTTTGGGAATGCTTCTCTGCGGCAGTGACTGGAAAACTAATAAAGATAAAAGGAAAAATTAATGGGGCTAAGTACAGAAAAATACAGGAGAAAAACGTGCTGCAATCGGCAAGAGCACTGAGACTTCGAAGACGATTCATCTTCCAACAGGACAATGACCTGAAACAGAGCAAAAGCCACACTAGTGGCTTAAAACCAAATAGGTTAATGTCCTGAAGTGGCCCAGCCAAAGCCTAGACCTCAATCCAACTGAGCATCTGTGGAATGACTTACAAAATTTTGCTGTTCACAAACTGTCCCCATCCAACTTGATGGAGCTTGAGCAATTTTGCCAAGAAGAATGGGCAAAAATTCCAGTGTCAAGATGTGCAACGCTGATAGAGACTTATGCAAAGATACTCAAAGCTGTAATTGCTGCCAAAGGTGGTCTTGCCAAGCATTAACACTGGGGAAGTGAATACTTATGCATTCAATTATTTTCTGTTTTTCTTTCATTTTGACATTATAGAGTATTTTGTGTTGACGAGTGCCAAAAATTCCCATTTTAATATATCACGGTTCCATGTTGTAACACAATAAAATGTCCAAGGGGGGTGTACACTTTCTATAGGCACAGTATATCACTTCATAGAATTCTTTAACTTTGTAACTCTCCTCTTGCTATTTTTGACATTACTTTCATCAATCTAACTGATACTGTACAGTATGTGGGACGTCAGGAAATGTAGCTTTTATGTCAATGTATTTAGCTCATGCACCAAATAAAAACTATACGCTGTGATTGGTGAGGGACATGCTTCCTGATCTGTTTTAAATTGATAATTTAAACAAATTTAAAATAATTTTACAGGTGTTATATTAATAAACATCACCCACAAAATCCCAAAGTATTGTAAATGTTTGTTTTATGGCCTTTTTTTGTCATGTTGGAGCTAATACTAAAAATATATTATAAGGCCTGAGCGAGGTCAGCATGATTGAAAGGCAGATTAGCATGACTGTATGAAACACTACGTAATAATTTCTCAAAAATTATCAAATGTGCTCATCACTAGCTGCTACAAAAAACCAAATAAGAATATGCCGCAATTGATTAGTGTCTGCTTAGCTCACAGAATTATTATTTATGTATCTAAGATTAAACCGAGAAGAATATATTTTTTCTTAAAATTAATAAAATATCTAGAATGCACTGAGTGGAATATACTGGGTTTAGAAAGCCAAAACAAATGTTCTGTTTTGGGGCACAGGACTCACACACACATAATGAGGAGCAAGGACTATCAAAAAAGAAAAGGATAGTTTCCTACCAGAGCCTCTCATTCATTCATGTCCATCAATTAGAAATTTGTTGATTAAGATATTTCCCTTACAGGGAAAATGCCTTGGACTGTTAAAAGATTTTAAGACTTAGAAAACTTAGAAAGGGATTTTAATTGAAACGCAAATGTGTTTTTTATTAAGCATGCGCCTACAGTACATGGGGCAACAACCCACTCTGTAAACTTTGGCTTTAATAAATAAAGCACTATGGTTTTTGAGCATATTGCAACCATGTCATTCCATAAAGTAGGCAGATATGTTAACACCCTTTTTTCTTGTCTCTCAAGATGGGAGGCCATCTTACCGTCTCCATGAATAAAAAGCCAAACACAAAAAGTTGAAGTTAAAGCAGGAGTCATCTAGCCAACATTTTGCAATAGATTATTGTGTAAATTTCACTTTGTTGCTGATATGTTAAGCTTTTGAAACCCAGCTCCAAAGTCATAGAGCTGTATTCATTGGTTAGACTGACTGATCACAAGCACCGCTATATTAACCGGGATATGTAGTTTTTAATTCACTTTGTTTTTTAGCCGTACGTTCGGTCTGAGAATCTCCATGAAGTTGCCCCTGCTATAAACAGCACAGTGAAACTCCCCGCATTTCTTAGTGCTCCAGTTGTGCTGGTTTGTGCTCCTGAAATTATTATGTTGCTTTTGGTCCCAATATTCTTTTATTGAGGGTGGGGCATCCTTCAGCTTCCCTACAACAGTGAAGGACAACTGAACCGTCTCATTAGTTAGTGCTATATTTGTGACGTTACGTGCAGATATGTAGTAATAATAATAATAATAATAATAATAATAATAATAACAACAACAATTATAACTTTACTTTACATAGTACCTTTGAAAGTAGCATCTTAAAGTACTTCACGTTAAGTGTAATAAAAATTCTAAGGATTTTCTCATTGCATCTCATTACAATAAATATGCAATTTCAACCCATTAGAATGAGCACATTCCTGCATTAAAAGACAAGTGTTTTATATTTTTATCCAATGTTAATACATAAACATTGAAATATGTTTTGTTAGGAGCACTATGTACTAAGTTGACCAAAGTACTCAAAATCTTTTAAAAAACGCTTTTCAAATAGTTGAATCACAAATTAAATCCCTAGCAAGGGTTAGAAGTGCTAGCGTTTGGCCACATGATTCCATTTGATCTTTTTGTTGGAGTGTCCCAGAGGTATTTTTTAATCTGCAAAATAGTTGTTAGTTATGGCACTTGGAGTATCTGATGCTGAAGTATTGATATGTTTTTACTTAATCAAGAGTAGTACTTTACTCACCTGGGTGTTTGAGATATTATCAATGTTTGTGTTAAAAAAGCTTGTGTTTTAGTGACCCAAATTAAGGGAGTTTCAATTGCACAATGGATGTGAATGGAAATTTTTTGAGTAAAGATTCTGTGAAGTAATGAATGATCTAATGTCACTAGTACTCAATATATCAAAGAAACAAATTACAGATATTGAACTGCATACAATAAAATATCTAGCATAATTTGCACAAAACTTTTCTTATTATTTTATACATTTTCATTAGCACTAAATAGTACATTTTCCAGTTAAATTTTCCAACTTTCCAAAGTCATCCCTTCTTCATTGCTACTAGTACTAAATGTTTTCCTTTGTATTTGTTTTTAATGTTTGTAAAAATGGTTGATTTGGCAATTAAATGAACAATTTGTAATTGATCAATTAATCCAACCACTGCGATTGAATAATTGTGAGCTTTAGATTGCCTCTTACTGTTAAGAAAATGAAAAAAAAACATAAAAAGGGGCAGGAGCTCACCAAGGCAAACTCATGAGATACCCTTCCATCGGGTGGCAGCTTGGCACCAAATCCCAGTGCTGGAAACATCTTATCACTGTCATAGTCCTGGATGATTTCACCAACAGCCTTCAGTGCCATAGCATAAGCATTTAATTGATAGGGGTTCATGTAGTGAAGGGATGTTGGCTGGGCTGGGTTACCTATAAAGAAATATCAAAATAACATACTATTACATTTAGCAACCCACATACAAAACCTCAGATTCTGAAGCTATTTATGAAAGAGACGTAGGGGTTTAATCAATTCACTTGAGAGTTTAAAAACAAAACTGAATATTTTTGTAGATTTTTCAAATTTGTCATTAATGTTTAGTGGTATTATAAGAGGTCAGCAGGTTCAGATAAGACGGAGATCCTTCTCTGAATTGCATTTTCCATAGTAATGTGAGGAATGAGACACTGCCCTTGCTTCACCTGAAATGATGACTGGTCAGGTGATCATTAAGAAATGGGGAAGCAGAGGGTTCCGGAGTCTTCTCTCTGAGGGAAGCATGGGGACTGAGAACAGAGGGCTGAACCTTTGTGTCTGACCTCTCAACACTGAGAAATAAGTGACTGACTATGGGACTATAAAAAGTAAGATGTAGTGGAGAGAGGATTTGTTTGGGAGAAGATGTGAGGGTTTCGTTATGATCTTATTGTAGAAGCCAGTAAGCAGTTTAGTTGCCCAGTTATAGTTAGAGAGACTAAAAAAGGCTGTAAGAAGTTCAAACATTAGCATAGGGTTTTCCTTTATGTTAGTTTCTGGTTTCCCATAGTCTCCCTATAGCACTGCTCATAGTCATAGTCATACACAGCACTGGATAATACCTTATGGCTGCATTTGTTTGTTTTCTGTGCCCATCTTAATAAAAGATCTCTAAGTTTGACACACCAACTTCTTGTGTGTTACAGTATGTTCAAGAAAAACAAATCTTATACTAGCAGACCTTTTGTGTATAATTCTGAAAACAGCACAAGCACAAATACTTCACAAACCACAACATTATTTGAGTGAATGGGGAGTTACAGAGTGCAGTGCAATAAAAGATTAAAATCTCAGACAAAAGTGCAAATACAGAGCAGCACTGGAGATTAAAATAACTGAAAATATATACTGTCAGCATGGTGGCACAGTGGTTAGCATTTCTGCCTTGCTGTCTTCGATTCAGTTCCTGGGGTGTTATCTGCATGGAGTTTGTATGTTCTCCCTGCGTTTGCGTGGGTTTCCACCAGGTGTTCCAGTTTCCTCCCACAGTCCAAATTCAAACTGGTAGGGTAACTGTGTTCTAGGAACATTGGCCCTGGTATGACTGTGTGTGTCTGTGTTTGTGTCTGTGTGTGTCCTACGATGGACTGGTATCTCATCCAAAGTGTATCTGGCCTTGTGCCCATTGCTTATTGGAATAGACTCTGGCTCCCCAAGACCCTGTGTTAGATAAAGAGGTTAGAAAATGGATGGAAGGATATACTGGCAATAGTTGTGTATTGCTCTAAAGCAATAGGAACACCTTTTTAAAACATTTGGATAATTATTTTTCTCAACAATGCTTTTATTTAAGTTTCAAAACCCCCAAAGGAAAAATAGTCATTGATTTCTTCCACTGGTGCAGAGACACAAACAGCACAATCCAGCATACAGAGAAGCAGAGGAATATCTTTAAGCACTCCCTCACTAAGGCTGTTCCTGCTGGTAATTCACTTTCCTCCAAGCAAAGGATATTGATTATTAACTTTTAAAAAGGATTGAGTTCTCAACACAAAGTAGTGTTTGTCTTGACCAACAGGCTTTATAACCAATGCAAAGCTTGGCTAATGTGGTTAGAGATGTATGTGTTATAGATTCTTACTGTGCCTCTTTTAAAAAAGGGTGACTAACCCGTGCAACTTTGTGATTCAGCTCCCTATTCAATAACAGCATGATATTCAAATCTAGATTTTGGAGTCATGCAAAATGCTGTTAGCAATTCCCCCATTTTAAGGAACCATGCTCTTTCAAAGGTTCTGGAATAAAAAACATTCATACATTTCTTGTGAAGCAGCAATTTGTATTTCTGTACTCACCATTTGATGCAGTAAAATCAATGGCCACTGTAAAATTGATCTGCGTCCTGCAAGGGAAATATATTTTCAGGGGTTTTATTCTTCAATATAAATGTCACTAAAACTATAACCAGTGGTAAGTGCTGTAATCTGAATCACTCAAAATAATTTATGATCTTGCTCAGTGCATAGTAGAACCATATCCTGAGTGCAAGATACAGGGCTCCAGCTGTATAACAGATTACACTTTTATCACACACTGCTTAGTTTTCCTATTTTTCTTCTCATTCATTGATTACATATCATATCAGGTGTGAAATAAGTAAAAAGGTTTGTACTAATAAAACCTTTTGTCAGTTTCTTCGATAAAAATGATTACATTATTACCAATACATTTACCAAAGGCTCTGATTCAATGCCAATTTAACATCTCTACACAGATGTCATCAAACAAGGCCTACTCTGAATAAAATAATAAACACGTTTTGACATCCTTGTTAAGGATCTTAATAACACAATGTTAAAGATTTATTCGCTTATGATACATATTTTAAATTATTATAAACTGAGTGTTCTCTACAATGCATCACTTTTAAAAAAAACAAAAATTGTTAAAACTGGCCAAAAAAACTGGTTCCAGTCAGTTTGAATATCTGGCTCTTACAATTTGTCTGCAAAGAGTTTACTATGTTTTTAAAAAAAATTAAATGTCTCAGTTGAAATTTAGACACATACTGTATTAATATATATTAAATAAACCTTATAAGGAAAAAAAAAACATAAGCTTTTATCTGTTTTATAAGAACACCAAAAGCAGTTTACATCAGCATTCTGTGTCAGTTGCAAAGACCTGAGAGCAGCATTCTAACTGGGGATAACCCCATGTCAGTATGCAGCTCAATAATAAACTAGTATGCTAGGTAAATATCATTTGCAACAATCTTAGGTGCTACAATTAGTCCCCAGTTCCATACTAAAAATGTTCTCAATTGCAACAAACTCAGCATAACAGCTGCAGCCCTCTAAGATACTATAGTACAGGACTAAGTGCAACTCTCCCTATAGACTAAGCCATTAAGTGTCCCATATCAACAATACATAAAGATTTTATGCGCCTTTTGTTGTGAAATTCATTGTTAAATTCAACTAAAATTGCATTTCAACCACTATACTCATGTCCTATCAGTATTACAGCTAATAATTCACATATAGCTTATAGTACCCAATACTTTTGGGATATAAGGAGAATGATAGCATGGTTAGCATGGCTGCATCACATGGCTGGGGCTCTGGATTAAATTCCTGGGGTGGTATCTGTGTGGTGTTTATTTATTCTCCTTGTTTTTGCATTTTTTTTGTGGGTGCTCTGGTTTCCTACCACAATCCAAAGACCCAGGTACGTTAATTGTCTTCTGGGAAAATTAGCTCTGGTATGTGTGTATTTTTGTCTGTTTTGTGCACTGCGATGGACTGGTGTCCTGTCCAGGGTGCCTTCTGTTTTGTGGCTTTTGCTTGGCAGTATGGGCTTCGCCTTCCCAGCAATCTTGAATTGGACAAAGCAGAGCAGCAATGTCCAAGCAATGAGTGGTATTGAAGGTTCATGCTTATACACAAAGGATCATACTGTCTGCTACACCCAACAGTGAAGATATTGCTTAGATAATTAATGTATCTGTAATCAGCACTCCCCTTTCTCAACCCTTGGCAATTTGCAGTACAGATTGGAAAATACCTGGAATTGATACATGGATGCCACCCATAATTATCTTGCTAAATACAGTACTGGTAACTGCTTGAATACAAGTGAAAAGAGTCATTCCTTTTCTCATTTCTCATTAGGTGAGTTTTACTGTGAATCCCTGCAGGATAGTGTTAATGTACATTACAGTATTACTAATCCGTGCAGGTAGAATTTCAGATTTATACGCTTTTATACAAAAAAAAACACAACAGTTCATAGTTTTAAAGCTTTCTAAGGTATAGCAAACAGAATAACATAATAAACTTTACTGTATATATAATGCATCTTAAAGCATTCATCTCAAAGCACTATTGAATATGTAAAAAGCACATACTGCAATGAAAAATTTACATTATAAAGTCACAAAACCAAAGCAGATTCAGGAGACAAAACAGTCACAAAAATTGTTTTAGGCTAGACTTAAAAGCACAGAATGTGGCCGTGTCACAAATTTCATTTGGGGTGATGTTCCAAACCTCTAGTGAACATCAACAACAAGCCCTGTCACCCACTGATTGTAGCTGAACAGTGGGAACACATTGGAAAGTTAGAATAATGAGGTGATTAACAAGAAAGTGAAAGGCAGTAACGGGTAACTAATTGGCTTGATACTGGGCAGACAAGTTCTGTATAGCCTTAAATGTATGCTTGTAGGCTTCTAAGACAAGATCAGTCCAATCAACTAAACATGACCTAGTCCAGTTTCTTGCTGTTTAATTCTGAACATACTGTAACTTAAGAATACTTTTAGAGACTGTTATTGAAAACTGGATCCTTTCACTAGGATTCATGCAGTGATTACAATACAGTAATCAACCAAGTCAGATTAAAAACAAACAATATTTTTTCTGTTATTGAGACAGCATTATAAGCAGACTGGCAACATTTCTCAGATGAAAAAAATTCATTTAATTTAATTTCAATTTCATTTTGGATGAAACTAAAGAATGGTAACAACAATTGACAAGATTACAGCATTGGTTTTACATAATGGATGAGAGAAACAATAATAATTAGTTACATGATGTCTGTTGTAAAAATAGCTTTACAATCAATTTAGAGATTAAGTGATTGTGAGGTGGCTTTGTGAGAAACCCACCTGTTAATTAGAAAAACCTGTGGAATGAGGCTCAGCAAGTATGAATGAGCAATTAGCACTTGGAGAGAGTGAAATATTTGTAAGGGAAAGGAGATGTGAGGGGATATCCGGTGTCTTTGTAGAATTAGACACTCCTCTGGGATAATTAAGAGGCTTATAAGGATAACTAAGGAACAAGGATTCAGGCTGTGTCTAAACTCCAGCCTGAGTTGCCAATTAGCATGGTATGGGTTGCCTTATGGTTTAGTGATCTAGGGATGTCTGAGTATTGCTTAGGCTGTATTGAGTGACATCACTGGTTCTTGACAGCTTTTCGTGGTGACAGTCTCGTAGTCATGATGTTTAGCCAAGGCACGAGTATTGCTAGTTGGTTCTGGACAGTTGGACTGTGTGGTTGTTTGTGTGCCAGGCTCACTGGGGTTGAAGTGTGCTGCTCAGGAACAGGCTGGGCCACATGAACCAGGGCTGACTGGAAGTGTTAGTAAAGGGAGAAGTGGGGCATTCCTTGGCAAGGTACCTTTATAACTTCTCCTTAGAGTTAAGAGGGGGTCTAGATAGTACAGGATGAGTCCCAAGTGTTCCCTGGGGCTTACCTTCAGCACACAGACAGGCAGTCTCTGAGAGTGTGTGTGAAGAACATCAGATCAGTTGCTGCTGTGTAAGAGTTGCAAGCCCTGGGAAGTGTGGCTTTCCAGGCCAAACAGAATCAGCTGGGACAAGTTAATGATCAGAACACTTTACTCACAACTGGTAACATTGCAGTTGGGCAACAGAGTTAAACAGTTTGCATATTCTAGTGGCAGGTGATTAATGTACTGTAGAAGGAAGACTAGATGAAAATATCTAGTTAGCTTGTGCATTGACTAGTGAATAATGAAAACTTCACTTGTTCAGTTAAATTCTAATGGTGAAATGAGCTGAAGGATATAAAGATAGCTTGCTTAGTACTTTGGCTTCAACTCACCTGGCTGAGGAAATGACAGTGCTGGGCCGAGATCAGCTCTGTCACATGTTCCCCCCCCCCCGTCACCCCTGCCAAAAGAGTCCCCAAAACACAGACACAGACTTTGAACACTGAGGTAAGAGCACGTTGGTTAGACTGCAAGTTGGAACACGCATGTAATGAATGAAGAAAACACTTTGATGTTGGCTTGCACTTAAACTAGTAGATGAAGATGTGCAGTGCATTAAAAGCATGTATGCCCCGGGTGACAAAATGGGAGAGGCTAGCAGCAGCAGCAAGTCCAACAGTGAAACACTCATGGCAACCGGCAGAGTATTTGGTTGTGGAACCAGGAAAAGAGTTACCGGTTAGCAGCACTAGCAGCACTCGCAAGTTTGAGACTGGAATTCTATGGAGGGAGGTGGAAGACACTTCTGTGGCCCAGAAGAGTAGCCTGATGCGGAAATTTGAGCAGCTGCTGCTTGCTGAATTGAGCTAGATGATAAGAACCTATATCAAGTCGAACTTCCAAAAGAGAAGGAATATCAGCTATGTATCTGACTGGGATATTTGGGAGGGGTAAGAGTTGAAGGCCAATAACAACAAGTTGGAGGCCACTGAAAAAATATGGGTTCACACCCGCTGTACAAAGTGGGAGTTTGTGACCGGGGGAAGAAGGACTGGGGAGAGACAAAACACATATAGCCTGGGGCCATAGGTGCCGTAGGTAGGATACTCGATGAGACCAGAAACAGAGAGAGAAGGAGGAAGGAAAAGACAACTGAGCAGGCAAGATTAAGAAGGGGAAAAAAACTGCCACAAGGACAGCTGCTCCAGTTACTTGAAGTTTCTAGTAGGCCTGCTGACATCAGGAGTCTTGAAAGAAAAAACACAGACTGTGTGGTGGGTACAGAACCTCTTGTTTTGGGTGGAGCCTTGAGGCTGAAGAAGAGTGACTCTGGTCCTGAATGTACACAATGAAGGTAAGGTCTCAGCAATGAAGTGAGGCATGTCCATCTGATATGAAGCAAGACTCACACTGCTAGAAAGAATGATGTGTTTCGCCATTGAGTTTTAATGGGCAGGAAGCAGAAGTGTGAGATTAGAATTTGACCTCGACCTGAAGCCACAAAACATGACAAGTTATTGAGAAGATCTAGTGACTTGTGTGGGTAGAGACAAATAAAAAACTAATCAGGAGGAAGAAAATGGTGCAGTCTTCCCTGAAAGGGAAGATGTCATGAAAGATCCCAGAGCGGCTCTAAAAGAATAAAAACCAACCAAT